TGTAGGTTTGTTGTGGATTGTGGGAATTCCCATCTGATGGCTTTTGTTTCTTCCCTGAGAAATGGCTGACTCATCTGCTGAGACTAAAGGAAGAGTGGAAAGAAGCCAGAGTCTGAAGAAAGTAGACGCCATATGAGAGAGTTTCCCAGGCAACACAGGATTTCCAGATGGTTTCAAGAACACAGTTGATGACGGCTGTCCTCAGTTTAAGATCATTCCAATCAGGGGCATTTATAATTCCCCTTCCCTGCCATCTAGCTGCATTAGAATTGGGTCACAAAAGCTGAGGAAACAGGCAGACTAATAAATATCTCAGGGAATTTTCTGCATGAGTATAATAAAATAAATAGTGCAAGATATTACTCAAAGAGAAACTTCAGTAGTAGAATACAGAATCTAAATTAGAAGAAAGTGAAAATAGGAAGAATATCCACCAGGTTAAAGTTAAGAGACCAAAAGATCAGAGATACTACAGTGACCAAAGGATTGATATATTGCCCATGAGTGAGAGAATGGGAAGGACTAGTGGGCGAGGCTTACCAAATCCAAATCGTCAGTCTGTACTTATTTCAGACAACGTGAAATTCTGGGTATTGACAAAGCTCAGAATGTACACTAGGAATAAGTGGTTGAATAAGAATGAAGATCAAGAATTGAGAAGCCATGGCATCAAGAGGGTCAACTAACTATTTGGCACTACTCCATTTTTAAAAGTAGATGTATATGAAATTAGCACTTTTCAAACTTCAATATCTGAATGCTTTGTGTGAACTTAACAAGTGTAGATTGTGATTTAGTAGAGCTGAGTTGAGGCTTGAAATTTTGCATTTCTAACAAGTTACCAGATGGGGCAATGCTGCTGGTCAGGAGAGCTATTCTTTGAGTGTCAAGGCACTTGATAATCCTGTCATTGACTTCCATGCATACTCTCCTCTTTTGAACAATCCTCTATGACACCCAGGGTGGACTCAGAACATACTAGTTCCACCTGGCCCTTCCTATTGACTGGCTGAATGGAGAGTCGAATGCAACTGGAAATCAATCCACAGTCTGGACAGAGCCAATCAAAATTCCTCATGCTGTGGCCTCATCTCTCAGCCATGGCTGGCCGTTAATTCAGGAAAAGACAACGAGGGGCTATGGGGGATGAAGAAAAGACAGACACACATAGAAAAAGAGCTGGGGCCAGGTGGGCACTGACCTCTGATGGAGAAGCAGTGACCCAGAGCTGGCTCTGCATATGTATAAGGTTTCATCAAAAGATTATTTGTGGGACAGTTTCAGCAAAGAAGGTAGTTTGAAGGACTCAGGACTGATGAAACATTAGGGTTATCTTGCTATATTCAGAATTCTCTATCCCTAGGAGCTGGTGCCTGAGCTCAAGGTCTGGACTGATACATGACTTTGCATGTGGGCCTGTGTTACCATAGCAACTGGGCCATTTTGACCTACAACTTTGCACAGGAAGTTCCCAGCAGCCACGGGGCAATCAGAGCTGATGGTTCACGTCACTGCTCCCCACAGGGAAGGGATGGGGATGTACAGTGTAGAGCACTTGCTTACCATGCTTAAGGCTCTGGGTTCAATCCCCAATACAGATGATAAATAAACAAATAAAAGTCCTCAAGGGAATGGTAATCTGAATAGAAAAACAGAAACAGAGGCTGCCAAACAGTAGCAGGCACTGGAGCTGTAAGGTCCATTTTACCCAAGCTTAGTACCAAAACAAGCTAAAACCATATGTAAGTAGAAGTTTGGGAGGAGGAGTAAGCATGAAGAAGCTGCATTTTAAAGGGAAAAATGAAGCAGAGACATAGAAAACTGATGACATACAGCATAAGCAGCTCAAGAGTAAGACCATTACCTCTGATTCAGCCTTCCTGATCAAATACACCCTGCATGAGGCTCTGGCCTCTGCGGCCTGGTTTCTTACCTCTCTTCCTCATCTTGTCTAATTCATCCTCTTTTTTTGTGGATCTTGATTTAGTTTTCCTCAAATAAGCTTTCCCTGCCTCCTGAAGCTAGTTAACTAGTGTCCAGTTTACAGCACTTGTCATCATCTTTGATAACCACCACTTGGATACTTACTACTTGTTGGTATTTTGTATATCCACTATTAAATATTTTCTTTAAAAAAGAGTTGATATTAGATATTTATAGTGCTATTTATTATTGTAATTTTTACTTTTTACATATAAAGGATCCCAGAAGAGGTTAGATAACTTGCCTAGGATCCCATAGCTTGTAGATGGTGGCATCAGGGTTAAAGGACCGATATGATCAAGTTCAAAGCTTGTGTTCTTAGGTGCCACACCTTCTTTCTCTGAATTGTAATTATGTCTCTTTTTTCACTCCAGTTTCAAGACTAAAACTATGCCTGAGTTTTGATGCAGGGTTGATCATAATTCCAAAAGACACCATCCCAAATATGATCATCCCAAATGATCAAAATCCCAAAAGCTTATAATCCCCCAAACCACAATCTCAAAGAATTAAAATCCCAAATGTTGAAAATCCGGAGACCTGAAATCCTGAAAGCTGCAATTCTCCCCCAAAAGGGCTATGTAAGAGGGCTAGAAAACTGGATTCTGGGGAATAGATAGGGCATGTGTATGGCAATGATGAAAATTTCAGTTTAAAAAAAATTAGTTCTTTTTCTGCGTTGCTCAGTCAGCCACCATCCCTGGCAGAATGAGCAGACAGTCAAAGAAATACCTAGCACTAATACCTCCCGACTGTTTCTGTAAATAATTCCTTTCAGGTGATGAAATTCTAGGAGCTTTTAATGAATTGAAGTGGCAGGAGAAATCACTGAGTGGTTTGAAAATTATTAAGTGCACAGTAGAAGAAGAAACTTATACAGTAGTATTTATTGCTATTCAATCACCAAAATTATTTCCACCAAGGTTGAGGCCTGTATGTGACTGCATGAGGAACAGATTTCCCCATATCCCAAACAACAGACAGGGATGACACAGAAGAGAGAATTTTTATAGGAAATGCTCAAGTTGGTGTATGTCAAATCACAGAAGAATTTCAAAAAGAGCAGCATAACATAGGAAAATAATGTGAATGCATTCTTTTAGAACAGCCATGCCATAAAAGGAAACAAAACAAGATGAAGCAAAAACCAACAACCAGCTATTCACTGAGGGGCGAGACTTCAAAACATAGTTAATAATTGTGAAAGTTGGCCAGTTCTTAGGGACCATGTCCATGAAATTGCCCATAGTTTTCCCCTTTAATATACTTTCTCATAATTTGAATTTTCTTTTTGGCTTAAAACTTTACCCACTTAAAAAATTGTCGGCATTATTTGCTTTTGTAATTCGCTTTGTTCTGTATTTCATTTTCACATCATTGTCAATGTTGGAGGTATAAAGAGTATAAAGAATTTTAGAGATATTATGCATTTTTTAGTAACAAATGCACTGTTACAATATTGAAACTTCCTGAATAAATGAAGATATTTCTTTTTGAACATCTGCATTTTTTGTTAAAGATAAAATTCTTGAAATCTTGGGTCTTTGAATACTTGCATACACAATCAATGTTTGATTGATCCCATTAAAAGACGTAGATTGTTCAGAGATATGAAAAAATGTGTTGTATATGTGTAATATGAATTGTGATGCATTTTGCTGTCATGTACAAATAAAAAATTAATTAAAAATAAATAAAAGATGTAGGTTGTCTTAGGAGGTATTTCGATGACAAGTTATAAAGCTGGGTGCACAAATTGTTAACAATAGCGATATACACTCATACATTTTGCTTTTTGACCTATTTCTTTATGAATATGTCTGCTTATATCTGTACCCATGGAACTGTCATTAGTATATACTTATTGTTAGGATAGCCAGAGTGCATATAATTGAAAAATTATGTGTGCTATCATTGCCTATTTTATTGTGTAAATTTGCCTATGAAGTGTTCTATTCTTTTTGTTACTCCAATAATTTTTCTAAATGTGAATTTTAAATCACTTTTAAAATTATTTTTCCAGAATTATATTTTCAGGCTTTTGATCTTTCAGGATTTTAGGCTTTAGAGATTTTGATCTTTCTGTATTTCAACATTTGGGATTACGGCATTCAAGATTGTGTCTTTCAGGATTATTGCTCAAACTCATCTTGATCACTTTATTATTCTGATACTTTTCTGGTATATAATAGATTCTCAAAAGTATTTTGTTAACTGTGGCTAAATGTAAATTATTAGTTGTGAAACCAATTGACCTTTTAATAGAACGGTGTGCAGGATTGTGTAGCATTGCTCTTCTGACAAAAAGTACTGAATAAACAAATCATTTGTAAAATATGTAACTGATAGATCAGATATTCTTCATCCCTAATTCTACTCAGGGTTGCAAATTTTATGTGGTTCTTGGTCCACCCTGGTCCTAAACTGGAATCATGGGTTTTGATTCTAAGTGGTGTGTGGCTACAATGTTCCAACTCAGACTATCCCTAAACACAAACATTTGTAGAGCTCTTTTCAATCTAGGCATTGTATAGTGTCCAGAGAATTCAGCATGGCTGTGTTTCTGAATATTTATAAATGACTCCAAATGTATAGCGAAGCTATGTTACTTTTAAGGGCCTGATCAATTCTCTGTGGCCTAAGAACCGAAGGAGATATTGACTACGTGGAGCTCTGGCTCTGTGGCAGTAAACATGCTCAGTCAGCCACCATCCCTGGCAGAATGAGCAGACAGTCAAAGCACTAGTACCTCCCGACTGTTTCTGGAAATAATCTAGAATCCTTTCTACAGAATAACGAAAGACAAAAATGCAACACAAACTGCCAATGACTGTGTTAGTTGCGCGGTCTGGAGTGGTTAAAGCAGGCCGATTGTTTTTAAGATGCTTGCGGCCAAATGCAGGCTATCTTCGGAAACGTGCTTCACCCACGTGGATCGCGCTGACGCTAATTACTAAGAGGCTGAGAAATGTGTAGCCGTGGAGACTGGCCGCCCCGCGGAGGATAAACTGGCACCTCTAGAAATAAAGCTCCGCAGCCAATGCGGCGCCACTGCCTGCGGGATTGGCCGCCTGGGTGGTGACGTGGACAGGGCGGGCCGGGCCTGTTTGCGACAGTGGCCGCGGGTCCGAGCCGGGAAAGCTGAGAGCGGACCCGCAGCGCTGCGCTGGGCCGGTGCGTCCGCTCGCCGCCGCGCTGAAAGGCCCTTCCTTCCCCACGCGGCCAGTCCGCCTCCTTGCTAGCTGCGGCGCGGGATCCCGACGGGGGCGTGGACCCGGGACTTGCGGTCCCGGGGGCGGCCCGGGACGCCGAGGTTTGGCCTGCGGGCGCGGGAGGGCAGCTACGGTGTGCGGGGTCAGGCGGGTGCTCCTGCGGCGCGCGCGGCCGGCCCCGGGTAGCGGCCGCCCAGGCGAGGAGATCCCAGTCGCTTGGCGCGGCCGCGTCCCGAGTCCTCGCGCTGCGGGAGGGGTGTGCGGAGCGCTCGGCTGTGCTCGGCAACTTCCCCTCTCGCCGCTCGGGGACTGAGGGGCGCAGCGGGCTCGCTGAGGGGCTCCTAGCGCTCTCCCATGAGAACTACCCCCGTGAGCATGAAGGTAGACGCGCTGGCTAGACCGTCTGGAAAACCCGGGAACTCTAGAGACGCGGGGCTGGGTGGGACCGGGAGCCGGGCTCGCCTGCCGCCCGCAACCGGCGGCGAGCGGCGCCGGGGCAGAGAGCCGAGATTTGGGGAAGTGGGAGCTGCCCGGGCGGGGCGTCCCGCGGAGAGTCGGCCAAGCGGTGTTTGTTTCCTCCCACTTCCTGCGGCAGCTGCTCAGGATGAGGAGGACAGCGGCGCTCGGGCGGCGCGGCCGCGTCCCCCGGGAGTGAGCGCTACCCACCGCCTCCTCGGGGACTTCCCGGACGCCAGGGCTTGCCGCCATGCGTGCGCCCTGAGGAGAAGGTGTTTGGAGTCGTGGACCGAGTCATGCGGGCTGGTTTTTGAGAGGCTCGGGACGAGTGAAGAAGCCCCAAAATGGAGGACTTTCCTACTAGGACCTACGGCACCAGTGGCCTGGACAACAGACCTCTGTTCGGGGAGACGTCGGCCAAGGTGAGTGTGGACCTTGTCCCCGGGCGGGGAGTACTTGTCTCTGTGTGCCCTGTCCTTCGGCCCTCCAGAGTCCCAGTCCTTCAGCGGCCCCGGAGGCACTTGTAGTTGGAGAGCCGGTCCTGCAGTCCAGCTTCCCTCTCAGGATGTTTGCCCAGCCACTCGCTCTGCTCTTGGACGGAGTTGGCCAAGAGCCTTGAAGTTGGGGGTGGAGAAAAGTTCAGAAAGTTCTGGGCTTTCGGAAGTCTTTCGCTGTAGTGCGGGAGCCCTCTCTGGAGGGAGTTTGAGGTGGTGGTTGCACAACCGCACCTCCATCCGGAGTTCTGACCTCCTGGAGGCTGCAGGTGTGCGCTGGAAGTGCCCATGGATAGCGCTCAGGAGAGGTGCTTCTGATTCCTGTTTATGTAGTGCCCTAAGGGCGTACTGCTGTGGAGAGAGGCGTTAAAAGAGGGTGTCTTTAGTGATGGCCTCCGTTCCAGGAAGTGATCAAAGGGTCCCAGGGCCCAAAGAAGCATAGGTAGGCTTTTAAGTTTAACACCTTTCAAAAAGTTTAGTTATGTAATGTTCTGGGCTAGCATTTGATGAGAGCTTTCTTCCTGTACTCAGCATTAACTTTCTGAGTAGTTTGGGCAATATTAGCCAGTTCACTCGCGGGCCCCACCCCCATCTACAAGTGGCATTTGTGGTCTTTGACCCCTGGATAAAGTGCTGTCAGCTTCTTAAAAGTTAAGGCACTTGGAGAATCCAGATTCCTGGATATTTTAGCTTTGGCAGGGTCCCTCTACCACAAAGAATAAGGCACTTGTATACTTGGCATTCAGGGACACAGTCCTGAATTTGGAAGCTGCCAGCCTGCCACTATTAAAAGACTATTTTTTAAACTCCATATGGATTTGCTTCATCTTACAGTTTTAGTGAGAAAACGTTTTAAGCTTGATCTCCAGGAAGATGGACCTTGTGGCTTTTCATAATTCCAGACAGTTAGCTCCAGGCCAGTAGATGTTCCTACTTCTACAAATGTTACTGAGTATTGATTAATGTGCTTGGTCCTTGGGTTTCAAAGAACCCAGTTAGATGGGGGAAATATGTGAACAAATGTAATGTGATTGAATCTGGGCCATAAGGGGCACAGAGGGGACACATTAGGGATACAGAGAAGAAACTGGTGCTTTTATATGGGAAGTCTGTCCAGCTGTCCCCCAAAGTGGGTTCCTTATCTCCTGCATATACTTTTGCACATAGATTGGGAGTCTGGATGATTCAGATCTCTGACCTTTTTTAACCCCATTAGGCCCTATAGTACAGAGGTAGATGACTTGGTAATGGACGTGTAGATTTATATAGACACTTAGAAGCCTGGCAGGTGGTGTGCAGCTATAATACTACCACTTGAGGGGCTGAGGCCTGAGGATCATTGAAGCTCAGGAGTTCTAGACCAGCTTGGGGAATGTAGTGAGACCCCTCTAACAGAACAATCCAGAACAACAATATAGATACTGAGAAATATTGACATTTTCTGAAAAGCCAAGGCTGAAATATCCAGTGCCTAAATTTCTTGTTGCTTATGAGCCATTTGAAATCCATCTAAAACATTAATTCTTCCAGATATCTCTCTTGTTTATTGTATACTTATTTAGTCCAAGCATATATATCTCCTGCATTACTTATGCAACTTTAGGGTATTAAAATAGAATCATCTACTCTGAAAGAAAAAGTTAAGAATAAATAATATATAATTCCAGATCTTTCAAAATTGATCCTCTTAGCTCACTCTGTGAGGCTGACAGTCATTGGATATAGAGAAATTCCACAGAATGGAGAAAGCAAAGAGATCCCAGGTCTGAGGTGGATGAAAATATGTTTCTAATAAATTGGGATACCAATCTAAAGGAGGAGAAGCATCTATCTTTGTTAATGTGAAATGAAAATTTTATTTGAGGGCCTTGGGTGGGCAAGGCACAGGAATGGAACCTCAATATTCAAAGGTTAATGGCTGGGGTTGTGGCTCACCTATAGAGTGCTTGCCTAGTACGTGCGAGGCCCTGGATTCAATTCTCAGCAACATATTAAATATATATATATATATATTCAAAGGGTAAACCACAGTGCAGTGGAGCCATTTCTATGGAGGATAGTAACTGCTGGAACTGGGGGATTCTTGGGTACCCTGAAAAACCCATCACTGGCCCTTGTATGTGGGCATCCCCAGCTTGCTGTCTTTTAGGTGCCAGGAAATTGGACACAATAGCCACTTTACAATGGAAACCTGTTAATAGTGAACCTCTACTCTGAGGAATATCCAGGAGGGTTTTGCAAAAACCACTTCCTGTAATTGTCTGACAGATTTTCTGAGCTTTTAGAAATCTTTCTTGCTTATGGGCTGGGATTGTGACTCAGTGGTAGAGCGCTTGCTTGCCTAGCATGCATGAGGCACTGGGTTTGATCCTTGGCACCACAAAAAAACTAAAATAAAGGTTTTATGTTCACCTAAAATTAAAAATATATATTAAAAAAATCTTTCTTGCTATAACAACTTACAATATATAGTCTGTCAGCTATTTGGTGCAGCTATTAACTTTAGGGTAGTGGAGACTGAGACCAAAGAGCAGAGTCTGGAGAGGAGTTTGTGTTTCCTCAGTGCTAAGTAACACACTGGGCATTCAGCTTTCCTTTTGTTTTCATCAGATTCCTTCTCATAAGATAGATGTTATTTCTATTGTACAACTAAGGAAGTAGAACTGTAGAGGTTTATTTGTTCAGTCACACAGTAGTTCTCTGGTTGTATTTTGCCTACTATCTTACGACTTTTAAATAGTGTCTTTCTTATGCAGCCTGAGCCACATGTTTCTCAAAACACTAGGCATTCATGTTCCTATTGCCAATCTGTAGGTAATAGGGGTGAAGTGGTTTGCTCTAAGTTACATAGTGAAAAATACTGGAATCTACTACTGAACATAACAATGGGCCTTGAACAGTAAGTACCTTTGTCATCAAGCCTTGAAAGGACTTATTTCTTCACCTATACTGAGCGCACATAGTGATTTCAGTAACCGAAACACTGTAAATTTATTCATTCTTCAGTATGATGTTTAGGAATAGCTTTACAGATTGAGCTGTGGCGTGAAAGGCAAAGTAAAATAGTTTTCTGTTGTTAAATAAATATCTTAGGGGTTATTGACAAAAGGGAAAAGTGTTCATCTTTTGTAAGAAATACATCCCTCATTCCTTGATATCTTTGGAATTATGTATTGCAATAAATCCTGGTCATGTGTCCAGATGCTTTTTTCATGTCTTATATACTTCCTAAGTTCTGTGCTATAGTACATCTCTTTCAGATGAAAAACAAATATGGCAAAGAAATCAAGATAATAAGAAATATCCAGGCTGCTCTCCTCAGAGGGAGAGCCTTGTCGTTTTGCTCCATACTACTGACAATAAATCTCTTGGGGTGGGAAAAAAAGAAAAGAAATATCCAAAGTTTTCTAAACCTGTGTTGTAGCTTAGCATTTTCTAAATGAGCACTAGCCAATAGAAATATAATGGTAGCCATATATGTAATTTAGATTTAACCTTTTAAAAAAGTACACAGATGAAATTGATTTTAATAACTATAACCCATATATATTCATTATTTCAACATATAACCAATACAAAAATTGAGATATTTTTACTTTTTTTTGTACTAACCCTTTGAAATCCAGTATGTATTTTACATTCATAGCTCATTTAAATTTAAATTAGCCACAATTCAGATGCTCATAAGTAGCCACATAGGGCTAGTACTACTATTTTGAATAGTTCTATTCAAAAAGCAAGTGAATTACTAGTTATGCTGGTCCTGTAGTTATGTTTGTGAACTGTTTTTCTTCTTTGTGGGATTTTGAGAAGCTTTAATATGCTAATTTCCACTGTAACTCTAGTTGGCAAATCACTTTTAATTTCTTGTGTTAGTAGTTCTCAGATATTTTGGTGGTATGATCTTTTTGGCTTCAGCACAGCTTCTTCCTGCAGGAACATTTACAAGAAGTTTCTTTTTTTTTTTTTAATATTTATTTTTTAGTTTTTGGCGGACACAACATCTTTGTATGTGGTGCTGAGGATCGAACCCCGGGCCGCACGCATGCCAGGCGAGCGCGCTACCGCTTGAGCCACATCTCCAGCCCTACAAGAAGTTTCTATAGAACACTTTTTGCTCTAGAATCTCCTTCCTCTTTCATCTTCTCTTCTCCCCATTGTGAACTGGAGCTATTCCTCCCTCTTGTGTCCATAGCTGTCTTTAAGTTTGCTTTAAGACAACACACTTGGGGCAGTGGCCCCCTCCTGTCCATGTAAGAGAAGGGCATTAAGTTATTCTCAGGGCTTGTGAGACTCAGTCTTCATTTCTGGAGTTGGCTGCCAACACATCCAAAATCAGTTTCAGCCAATCCAGATTAGTGAACCTAGGAGGGAGGGTGAGAGTGGTTCTGTTTGGGAGAGAATGCAAAATTTTCCTAGCTAGTGTAAATGGGAAAAGAGAGAACACTCCCTGTTGGATGTAGTTAAACCAGTTTCTAGACCGGCCTGTTCTTTTGATGTTCACTGATCACAAAATAAGTGATTGATCATCCAACTAGGGTGGTAACAGTTCTAGTCCCATTATCCCTTCTTAGATGTGATGTGTGAAGTAAGTGACTGTGAGGAGGTATATCAGCATAACTTCCCAGAAGATAACACCAGGAAGGGAAGAACTTTACAAAGGAGCAATCTAGTAGACCTTGAGGCTCAGAGCAAAAACCTTTTCTTGCATTCCCCCTTTCTCCAATAAGTAAGCAAGTGAATAAAAATGGAAAAAAA